ACATAGAAGTTCAATACTTTTCCTTTGTTTCCAATGAAATATTCCTGTATATTCATACTTTAGCACTTACAGCATTACACATTGTATGTATGACATTTAAGTGTTAAATGTTCTGCATAGCAAAAAGAAAATATGAAACAAGGAAAATAAAAAGTAAGAAAAAGGGATTATAATGAAAAAGCAGGAAATGAAGTGTGTGAAAGCTTTAGGTGTGTTAGAAATAAAAGAAAAAATTAAAATATTAAGATAAATGTGAGTAGTGATGGCACATACCCTTAACACATCATAAAAATTCAGAATGTGGAATTAATAAACTCTAAATACTTTGTATACTTCAGCGTATGGATCAGTTATAACAAATATTGCAGAGGAGATAAGGAAATTGAACACAAGATAGGTGGTGCTAGGAGTAATTTTGTTCAACGCTGTAAGATAATACAAACCAAAATGTTAACATGGACACTGGAGTCATGTTATTAAATAACTTCCTCAGATTGAGGCTCTCATGTGGATATCATAAATGGTTCCCAATTTGTTCAGAAATGTCTAAAGTTTCAATTACATGCGACCATTTTTCAAATCAATGATTAAATATAGCTTCAAGTGCAGGAATCCTTTAGTTTTTAAGTCAATCAATCCTGAGAACATAGCTGGTGGCACAAAATCACAAAGAGCTCTACCAAATAGCAAAAACTCCATCACTTGAACACTTCCTACAGTAGCAACAACTAAAATGAATAGCAGATGCAACTAGAAAGGGAAATAATGATATATATGAAGATTTTGATTTCCTCACTACTAAAAACAGATGGCTTAAGAAACCTATTTTCCTGAAAAAAATGTCTTAAGACATTGTTTTTATAAATCACAACTAAAAGTAACTCTAATTGTTTGGTTAATGAATGCTGAAAGTTTCTTGTATAGAAATGGCTAATCTCACCATTACCATTGACATGTCCAATGTTATTCTAATGCTCTACCTCTTTGCTGTGTTTTTGCTGTTGTCATCAAAACACTTTTAGCTGATCTATATTTCAGCAATCTTCACATCTAATATCTGTAAAAAAAATAAATAGGAAAATACTTATATCTCTTGGAATGGATCTTCTTTTTAATCTTCATGTTTGGTGGTATCAATATTTTCTCTTGGCACTAACACAAGAATGGTAAATGGCTGGAAAACCAAAAAAGTTTCATTTTCCTCTCATGAATTAAATTTCAAGATGGTTGGAGAATTGATTAGTTGAAATAATGGGATAGCAACAGCAAATACACAAAGAAGAAATTCTCAAACTTTTCATGCCCCACACCTCAAGGAAATATTTGATCAATGTTTTCCCCCACCTCTAAAAGAATAGCATCACATTTGAAGATGAAGAAATCTAATTTTTGAACCATATCCTCTACCTATGGCTGAACAAAGTGAACTTAGAAAATAAGATTCTCACTCAGCACAAATGCAACTATAAACAAAGCAATTAGATTTTAATTAAACAAAATTTTAAATTATAAAATTCATCACAAATGGGAACATAAAATTCAATGATTTCTTTGCTTCTCCTTCTTGTTCATGATTTAATCAAAATGTGGACCATTTTGATAACTGAAATCTGCAGGTTTATCTGTGAATTATGGTGATTTTGACTTGCTTGACAAAAGAAAACTGAATCCAGAATTAAATTGGCTATAATAAAATTGTATTGTATATATATATATATATATATATATATATATATATATATATATATATTATATGGGTTTTATATGCAGTTTAAAGAGATGAATTTGCAATAATTAAAGGCAATGGAGGTATGGTTCTACAGAAGGATGCTAAGGATATCATGGACTAAGCATATGAGTAACAATGAGGTTTTAAAGAGGATACAAACAAGGAGGAAGCTTATACTTAACATCAGGAAGAGGCAGCTGAAATTTCTGGGACACATAATAATAAAAAAGGAATACGTGACATACAAAGCAGGCTTAAGCAAGTGGATGACAGAACATGACCTGGGGGAAGTAGCAAAGAGATAAACCTTATTGAGAACTATAAGCGATAGGGGAAAGTGGAGGGCCATAATCACCTACGTCCTGAAGGGACACAGCAAATAAAAAGAAAGAAAAGAACTCTCTCAAGTCATTCTGGCAGCTGGTTGAGTGATAACGTGTCATTCATGGATACAAGACACTGTTAAACTCCTTGAAATTCCATCTTACATGCCTTGATGGTGAAAGGACTCTAGATACTATATGAAGTAATTTCTGCTATAATGTAATTAGTTTAATGGCAAGGTACATACATAATTAGGTTAAAGTTCTTTTCTGAAATCAATCATAAATGCAATTCAACTTATCTTTTCTCTTAACAGGTAGACACCTACATTATATGAAACAGGTAGTAATTTATTAGATACTCTAACATCTTCAATGACAAAAACTTTCTATTTATCTCTCTAAAAGGTGATAAAAGAGTTGAATCTTCTTTTGCCTTGATTTGCACTGTAGCAAAGTTTTATAATACTGCAGATAAAATGCAAAGCCTCTTAGATGCTATTTCCTTCCTAGAGGATATAAAAATATTAGCTTTTGAAAAGAAATGACAGAAAGCAGATGAGAAATACTGAAAGATGTAAAAAGAATAGAGATTTCAAGAAAGCATAAGTAAGAAGAAAAATTATTGTAGATTTTATTGACAATAACCTTCCAATTCAAGAAGTTAAATATTATCGTAGCCATTTGAAATTATGCCCAAGATAAGTTCTTGCTGCTACTTGAAATTGACAGTGAAGTAGATTGCAAAAGTAGCATTGGTTTGTCATTACAGTAATCAGTATTTGAGAAGTGTGTTGAATAATAAAGCAGTAGGACTAGAAGAAAGAGAATGATGTTGAAATATCATGTCTTTAAGCAGACTTTGTTTTTAGGAAGCATGAAATAGATAAATTCCAACCAAATGTAAATGCTGTCAGAAAATCTAGAAATACTGAGATGATAATTTCTTCAGATTCAGTGGCTAATAATTAAATTTAAAGCATGCCATAGACCAAAAACAGAATCAATGCTGCTAAGTTTCAATTCTATACAAAAAAACATTGAAAAATTAAATTTTGCTGTCATTTTGTATTTGTTCATTTAACATCATTAGAACCATTTTGTAATCTTCTTTAACTTATAGGAAAATGTTTGCAACAGAGAAGAATGTTTACAGCCCAGCAAATTTCAAAGAGAGACATCTGCTACTGCTAAAACTAACATTATTTTACTATAAAGATAAGAATAAATTTCATTGCAAAAGATTCAGGTTTTAAAATGATCTTAATACAATATTCAATTTATTTTGATATAAGTTAGAATACAAATATATTTTCCTATCATTCCCTTTTATATGAAAATAGGCCCTGCATTAGAAAACTGAAATAAAGTTTTTCATCAATAATTTTCTATAGGGTCTGTAATCCTGTACACTATCCAGTCATTGAACAATTTTTTAATCAAATTTATCCCAAACAAGACAGTAAAGTCACTAAGACACAAGGGGTTACTGCATGTGAAAGGATTAGAAAACAGAAACATTTTTAAGGAGCAAGAACAAAAGAAGAGGAATGAGGAAGACAGTAGATAATGATTGATATTGCATTTTTTGAAGATCAAATTTGGCCAGAAACCATGGAGCCAGAAGAAAGTTCCACAAGGGAGTAGTGTGAGAAAAGAAACTGTTAGCATAGAACTTATGGTTACATCTAGCCAGTTCAACTGTAAATAGATGAGACCTTGTTGCCAGTATAGTACTGCACTTAAATTTAAAAAAGTCTGGGTACCATAATGAACAATTACCATGAAAGTATTTATAAAAAAGGTCCAGGTAAGCAATTTTATGGCAGTGGGAAAGTGACTGAAGCTGAGATTTCAGGTCAGGATCAATAATATAGCTGATTCTTCTTTGGATTTTATCAAGAATCCCTAAATATATAGCAGGTGCACTGGACAATATGTGGCAGCAATATTCTAAGTATGGATGAATGGTAGATTTATAGATATATAAAGGTAGAAAAAACTTACATGCTTTAATTGTTAAGCTTTTTTGCCTGTTACTTATTGCTAAAAAAAATTACATTTTTTTTTTGTCAGAAACTTATTACTACTGAGTTTTAAAGGAATACACTGAGGTACAAAGATTAAAAAAAAAACAAAAGTAACCCCCATCAATATTGGAAATAGTAATAACATTAACTGAACTTGAGAAATGTATTTTCCTGAAAAATTGTTTCAGGAGAAAAATTTATAAAATTCCACTGAAAGTAGCACAGGATGCAGAATGTTTCCTTATAAGGATACAGCTAATATTACCAATACAAATATACATATCATGATATACAGTTCGATAAGGGTATACATGTATCACAACTAAATGTGCACAATATGTGACAGGTTTTGATAAAAGCAGTGCATAATGTTACAGATGTGACCCAATTAGAAATACTTTCAGGTCAGTTAACTGAGTCTGCTCAGATGGTCTTTGATTGATGTTTCTCCCAAGTTGCCTTAGCTGTCTTATCCTTCAGGTTTAAAAACAACCATCTGAACACCTAGCCATGATGCTCCCCAAATACTCCATTCATAAACAGAGATACACAGTGTGTTAACCTGTAGGAATATACACCCAACTATTTAAGGTAAAACAAATTACTAGCAAATCTATGGTATTGAACCCATCAGTACCTACTTAAATGATTCATTTTCTATGGCTTATTAACCCTTTTCAGATTATTTAAAGCCAGAAAATATTTTTAGAGTGTGATATTTTTTATTTTTTGGGGATAATAATGGTTTAGTGATACAAGTTTTATTAACTTAACCCATAGCTGATGGGGGGAGAAGAGATGGATCCATACCAAGGATATTTGCACATAAATGAATATGATGAACTGGACTGCAATTGGAACTCTGCTCTCTGATTTCTAATTCTTAGCTATTATCCATTACATCACCTGCACATTCAGGCTGACAGCATCTGGTATTCTCAAGTGGTCACTCATCTAGGTACTGACCAGGCTTGAAATTGCTTAACTTCTTTGATCATATGAGACCCAGTGTTTCAACATGATGTGGCCACAAGCCCATCAATATAGCACATCATAATCCACCAAAACATGTATGTATTAACACCTCCACTTAGTTATGGTCAAAAGCCATGAGAGTTATTCATGGTGTAGGATCAGGGAGTTTAGTATTATTATTAAACTTGTTGGTAATATTCATAATGAATTTTTTGAAAGAATTTTTTATTTGTGAAATCAATCATAAATAATGAAACAAAAAGCAGTAATGAAAAACATTTATTTCTATTGACTTCGTTTGGGAAGTGACAAGAAGAGACGTAATGGGGATGTAAAGAGAAGATTAAAAATAAAAGAAAAGTGATTTCTTTTTTATAATCATAAAAAACATCTAGAAATATACAAAGATAATCACAAGAATAATTTCTGATGCTACTTGATTAAAATTGATTACTATGGTAAGTTCAAAAAAATGTTTGCAGTAAGTTTGTTCATTAGAATCATTCATTATCATTTTTATCAAGGAACTTTGATAATCTTGGGGTTTTTTATGAAAGGATTGTTTTATTTTCTAAGATAATTAACCAAGTACTCTATGATAGTAACATGATATATGCTCTAGTGTTAATGCAATCAATGAGGAAGTAATTCACTTTGTCTAAGTGATGTAAATGACCTACATAAGCTTATCCAATATCTTTTGTTTGTAGCTCAAAGAAACTTTTTGCCTATGAATTAGAATCGACCCAATGGATGTTGCACAAGTGCTTGAGTCACACTGAGGAAACTGTTAATTACAGAATATTTTTATGGTCAAGTTAGGAAATTTGTCAGTTATAAACAATCAAGATTGAAATGATGGATTAGGTATCTGGTATTTAGTGTAGTTTAGACTATATTATACTATTAAATTACTCAAGAGGCTGCTCAATGCTCAATAGTTGGAGTTCTAATAAAACCACTGAGCTATTATTAAATATTAATAAACTTATATAAGCTTATTATTATAAATATTGTATTTAGAGAATACACATGTTTGATTATGGATCTTTTATTTTTGTTTTTAAAGAGTGTAATTGAGATCTACTGGCTTGGAAGAAAAATCTGTGATTGAAATATAAAAAATGGGTTTAAGAAACAAGATGAACACAGTAATCGGCCTTGACAAAAATGATCAAATTAGACATTTTTTTACATAATATCAGCATAATGAGATTTCAAACTAATTTTGTTTATGTGGCTTGGTAAAGACATTTTTTCCAGAAAAGCAAAGTCTTTGAATTTTTTATAGAAAAATAATCAAGTTGTTATTTAATATTTTCTATCCAATTTAGAAAAATAGTAAAAGAATCTTTTATAAACCAAAAAGAGCCCCCCCCCCAAAAGAGTAATTTCATCATTTTCTCTTCCTTTGCTAACAAAAATCTTTTTTGCTTGTTTTTTTTGTTTTTTTTTTGTCATATTCACAATATTTCAGCCATTGTACTCTCCAGCTTTCTTCAAATGATTGGAACTTCGAACTGAACCCTTTATTTCATCCACTGGAGTAGATTTTTCTAGTTCCACGTGCCATGCCTCTTCTGGATGTTTCAGTTTCTTAACTCTCCAAGTTTTTGTTCACCTCTGCTGTGGCCAGGTATTGAACTCCCAACTCTTTGGGTCAAGTCACTGGATTACTTCAGCTAACACTTTTATCCACTGGCCCATGTGTCCTTGGGGACAATCTACCCCAGTGGATGAAATAAAGGATTTAGTTTGAAATTCTAATTACCTGAAGAGGTCTGGTGTGTACAATAGCTGAAACATCATGAATATGACAACAAAGATGAGGACAACAGTCCAAACAATGTAAATAATTACAATACCTCATCTCAGAAATATAGACAGATATTGAAGGATCGGTACGGACCCGATATACAAAAAATATGGAGACAATTAGAAAAGGCAACAAAGATGAGGACAACAGTCCTAACAATGTAAATAGTGTAAATAATTACAATACCTCATCTCAGAAATATAGACAGATATTGAAGGATCAGTATGGACCCGATATACAGAAAATATGGAGACAATTAGAAAAGGCAATAAAGATGAGGACAACAGTCCGAACAATGTAAATAGTGTAAATAATTACAATATCTCATCTCAGAAATATAGACAGATAACATTACAAATTCATTCCTCAGTGGTTTGTTTTGAATTTTATTTTTTTTCAAATATTTAGAGTTTGAAATAGGATTTTCTGTGACTAATACTTGCTTATTTGAAGGTGTAAAATTAAATACAGAGTCTCTGAAACCATTTTCTTTGTAGCATTTCAACAACATATTATGATTAGAATGTTTATATATGGTAACTATTCATTATTTAAATGTAGAAATGATTCCCAATTAATACAAAAAATAAAAAGTAACTTTTCTATCACCTTGTAATTTTTTAAGGTTTCTTTGTTTTATTATCAGACATGCCAAAAAGTAAAAGTTATTTTCAGGAGTGGACAAAATATGGTTGTAAACATTATTGAATCTAATGAAAGAGTTCATTTCATACAGTGCCTCAGTTAATACATATACAAATATTTTTCTTTAATTTTTATAAATTAATGAGATATATTTTATGCCATCAGATTATCATGGATGTTTTAAAAAAGGAACATCAGGATAATTTGAAATTTTATTTTATTTCATAAGAGAGTTCTGCACAGTAATCATTACTACTATGTTTATACTATCTGACTTTCAGGTTAAACAAGGGAAAAACTTTATATTATGATCAAATGTATGAAAATCTTTGTTTGATAGATTTAATTTTTTTAATAGTATACAAAAATAAAGAGTTTTTCTACAAAATTCATCATTTAAACTTCAAATAGTTAATAGAAATCAAATTAATTTAGACATTTCAAAGATTTGGAATGTAACATTTTTTAAACTCCTTTGTCTAGTTTATGTACATTTGTTTTGATTCACTAAAAATATTGATATTTCAAATCAGAGACTTGTGAATATTTCATTATATATTTTATTTGAAAAATTAATGGATTTTTAACCCAACATGATTTTTTATTATTAAAATTGTGATATTTCATGGGTACATATGTTTGAGTTGATATCCCTGTTTTTTTAAACATTAAAATTAATATCGAGAAGCTCTACTAAAGAAAGAGTACCTCTTGATAGGAATTGAATCTGTATTTCCTTCTTCAGTCAATTTTCATTTTTAGGCTAAAGGGTAGCTTACCATTAAGCAACAGGAAGCCATCACAGCAAAGCAAGGCTCAATTACACTATTTAAGAAATGCATATCTCTGATTAGGGCCTCTTAAACTCTATATCTGCCAGCATTATTTTTGCTCCTGAAATGTAAAGTAATTATTAAGCAATCAATTGATGGATTTTTTATTCTAATATTATTTGTTATTGCTATAAACATTATTATTTATTATATCTTATTGCCTAATAGTAAGGCACACTTAGCTTAAAAGTGATTTCCCAGATGGAAAAAGGGAATACGAGATTGATTCTTGCTGGAAAGCACATATTCTTTAATAGGATTTCTGTATATCTAGGCTAGTAAACATTAATTTCGCTGATTAAAAATAGAGATTACTAGTGAAAAACATGTACCCACCAAATATAACATTTATAATATGGAATCTCTGGAAGGCTCTCTCAATAATCAAGTCCTTCCTAACAGATAGGTCACTGAAGGTCATAGTTAATGACTAGTCTTCAGAAGGCCTTAAAATCAATGCCAGCATTTCACAGGTTTCCCTCCTCAGACCTACCCTATTTCTCCTTCACATTCATGATCTGCCTAAGATCATACCCTGATCATTAGTGAGTATTTATGCAGATGAAAAAAAACAGTTTAAAGGTGTACCTCCAAAAATCTGGAAGACCAGAACCTAGCAGCTCATCTCTCCTCTAATCTCACCCAGGTGGCTCAATGGGGGAAAGGATTGGTTTATAAAATTCAATATAGCCAAAACCAAATTAGTAACATTCCACCTCCACCAGCCAGACCCTGAACTAACTCATCATGATGGATGGGTGTTCTCTTAAGATGGCTCCTTATTTTGAATGTCTATTGGGAATTAAACTTTCCCCAGACCTCAAGAGGAATATATTGGATCTACTGTTAAAGATACTGGAAAAATGGTTGGCTCATTGTACTGCTCCAGTAACTATCTGACACCTCCTGTATTCTTGATAGTAAGTTATCTTTACAAGAGCCAGATCAGACCAAAAATTATTGCCATATCTGGGCTGGAGCTTCCCAGTTCTCACTTACCTGTCTAGACAAAGTTCAAAAACATCTACACAGCCTTGTGGATGATGAATTATTTTCCACCCTACAACCATTTTCCCACAGACAAAACATTTCAATCCTCTTGTTGTTCTATTGCTACTTCTATGTCAGTTGTTCTGATGAGCTCTATTCATTAGTCTCACCAACCCTGATCTTACAACTGGGACTCACCATGCCATGTACACAAGAGTGAATTATGCCCATTCCTTTCATATTCCTATAGTAAGAAGTAAGTTCCATTTGGACCGCTTCTTCCTAAGAAATACCACTTTTTGAAAAAAAATCTCAGCAGGATGTTTTCCCAATAATTACAATATTGACCTCTTCATGTACAGAATTAAGTCTTATCTTTCCTGTATAACCACATGAACTTCACTTCTTGTTCCTTTTTATGCTGATGCTACACCACAGAGTAACCCACTACCTTGAGTGGCTCTTGGACCTTGTGCTGGGTGAAAAATAATATGAGAAAATGTTTGACTAGCAATACATAAAATGCACAGCATAACATGATTATTAAAAATAACTATGAATGTAATAACAAAATTGTTCCAATTGAACTTATGAATAGGTTTAGTCATATGTAACTATGTCATTATGTTGTTACTTTTGTAGCGTGAAACTTTTTATTTCATAATTCAAAATTGACTTGATAGTATTTTTCTGAAGAATCTAGGATGTTTGAACATGTTAAAAATTAATCTAATTTAATAAGGTTATTCTTTAAAAAAGAAAATACATCTATATA